TATTACAATAGGAGTGTGTGCATGCACTGGAATTGCCTTCTCAGAACCAACACATTTCTCTCACATAGTGGCTGTGATCAAAACAGCAATTTAAGCCTGGACTCCCCTTTAGAAGTAGCTTGTGTATTTGGTCCATCTTTAAAACTGATCTAACCAAAGAAGCTGTGAATCCTGACTCTAGACCCCTGCTAAAGCTCTAGGAACATGCTGAATCCCTTTTGTCATGGTCATATAGACGTAAGACCTGCCCAGTTCCTTTTAATGCAAGAAAAATCCTTTACTCCCTCAAAAATGTACAAAGCCATCTTGGGGTGAGCTTTTTGACAGTAAGACATACTGTAACGGGATCTAGACTCATCCCCATTGTGCTCCTGCTAGTCACACTGGGAATTAGCTCTGTCCTCAGCAGGGCACCCCCTTCTGGCTGGTGTCTCATCCATTGTCGCTCCACGCTCTGTTCTGGACCCGCGTGACTCACAGGATCACAGTGGCCTCTTCAGGACACTGCCCTCTGGCCTCCACCATGCTGGTTTTTTGCCCCCCTTCTGGGGGTATCAGCAGTCCTCAGCCTTGCACCTGCCACTGTGGCCAACTGCAGCTTCAATCAAGCCCTTCACCTCTGGGGCAAGCCACAATCTATAAAGGCTACTCTTCAATGTGATTAAGTCCAGTACAAGGAGGAAGGGGAGACCTAGGCCCATCCACTGCTCGGGGTCCCAGCTAAGGGACCCTCTGGCAGCAGCTTTGTCCTGTCCTCTCTCCCTCTTCTGTCTCCTGTTTCCTTAGCCACTTTCCCTATGGCCCTTGCATCCTCCTGGCCCTTATATCAAGGCCTGCAGCCTGGCAGGTCACAGGATGGAGTGTCTCTCTCTCTCTAGCTTCTGAGCCAGACCAGCACTGCTCTCTCTAATGTGCTTCTCTGGGAACCAGTCCTGCACACTGACTGCTTAGGACCCAACTGCCCACCTCTTTGCTGAGCAGTTCCTTTTAACCAGGGCTGCCCTAGCAAGCTGTCCTCCAATTGTCTTCTTACAAGCCTCTCCTTGATTTGCCAGGTCTCTGTGCAGGTTCCTTCTAGCCCGCTTTATCCTCTTCTGGCCAAAGTGGGGCAAGCCAACCCTCTACACGTACCATAACAGGCAATTTATCAGCAATGGGCAATAAACACCCAGTGTGATACCTTGAATTGACTAGCTTATTTTAGTCAGAGACAATAAAGTACAAGTTGACTAATGTACTGTTCATTTCAGCACATGACATATCAAACACTTCAATTCTAAAGACAGCAGGGCAAAGGTCACATCAGAGAATGCTTGTGCATTGATCCTCCATCTGGCACTGCCCAGCAGCAGAAATGACAAATACCAACCTAATTTCTCCCCAGACTGCGATTTGAGGAATTAAATTCAGCTGCTGTTTCAAATACATATAACTCTTCACTCTGTCTTTTGAGGAGGACCAAGTTTTGTAGCCTTTTGGAGAACACTTCACATAATCTCTACGTGTATCATCATGACTAAATCCCATTTCTATGGTAACAGCACTATCACACTACTTTGTACACCACAAAACTAACAATGCAGTATGCGCCAAAGGGAGTAAATGACCCAATACCAACGGGCATTAAAAGGCCCCTTTTCCTGTTTAGTTTCACCAGTGAAGGGAAGATCATATCAAATGACATTAATTATTAAGAGTTTACAGTCAATACAAAATAGCAGTACATTACAATGTTAATAGACCCTGAGATTACCATAAATCAGTATTTCACATAGCTTACTTACATAGGTTTTACTATAACGTTAATTACCGTAATGTAGTACTGAGGTACCAATGCTGAATCCCAAACAGTGTTCTATTAGCTTGCTCACAGTCCTTGTGAGTGTTATTAGAATCCAAACAGTCCCATACAGCCCTTTTTCCTTGAGATTTGAACAAAACTGGAGAGCCAAACAATCCTATTACCTTAGATCTACCAGTCCTGACAAAGACTTAAGACATAACTAAAAAGGTCCCCTATAAAGATTATGTTTATTGTTCTTTGTGATTCCTCCCTCACACTGCTCTTCACATTTCTAATTTATCAACATCATAAATAAAAACTCCAAGCAAATTAATTCTTTATTGGAAACTATTCATATTAGCCCTATGTAGTAAGAACAGGCCCTGACAATGGAGGCCTGATGTGAGGCCTAAACAACAGTCAATGCTTTGCTAACAAAGCAAAGTTAAGTTGTGAGCAAAAGGCAGATCCTGTTCACAGAAATTCGGCAAGAACAGGGTTGCTGATATTACAGAAACACACATACCTAGGCTGTACTGGGCACAGGCCATGCACGTAAACATTCCAGGAGGATGGTAACAGACGTCTCGCTGCAGAAACAGCTCGGTACCAGTACATTCCCCATAGGTAACAGGGACATACCAACCCAGGTTCAGCACAGAGTTGGGATGACAGCATGATGTATGGTGGTTTGATCAAAACATCACTATGTACAAGGTAATGGGTGGTATCTAGGTAAGTCAGGGGGTGTCAACCTAATATGTTTAAGTGTGGTACCTTGAAACGTAAGAAGTTTGTATGTGGGCATAAAAGTGTATCTCAGAGGGGCTGTCTTAGTCCAGCCAAGGGTATAGCAGAAACTTCTGGCCGCTAACTGAGCTGAGTCCATTGACAAGGTGTACGTATATAGTGTAAACTGTTGACTTCTGGTCTAGATGCCCAGGATGCTAGAGGCCATGCGTCGTTTGCCAATAAACCTGATTCCAGTGCCTTCGCACCTTGTCTCATTTGTGGATATTGGGGGCTCTCAGAAGTCTGAGGTGGTGGCTACATGCGCAGACCCTGCACAGCATTCGGAGACAGCACACGTATGCACTCAGCTGAACGATTATCAACACCGAAGGGAGCAGAACAGATGCCAGAACACCACACCCATGGTGGCATCTGACTACACCCTACTTTAGAGAATCCACAGCAAGCAAAAACCATTTTAAGTAGTCCCTAACAATAGAAAGCACTGGGGATTTCTACAGTGGACATAAGAGACAGCTGGGAATACTTATGTCACGGTAAATATTAGTTGAGCAGTTTGGCAAAGGCTGGGAAGACTACATATTTATTATTTTTAAATTTAACTTAGCAATGTGTCTTTCTGCATCCCAAAAAGGGCAGTCTGCTAGGTAGTGAAATGTCTAGCAACACTTGGTGTAAAAGAAGCTCCCAGGAGCTGTCTGTGGTAACTGTGAAGCTCTGAAGCTATCATCAGGCTTTAATAGTAAGTGTATAAAACTGAAGCAGCAGTTAAGAATCTTATACTATAGTTGCAAAAATACTTACCAGCGTTGTAGTATTAGCAGCTTCAGTTTCAGTGAAGCCTTGCCACACACTCTTTATTCCATGAGGGTATGTCTACACTTGCACCTTATTTCAAAATAGGGATGCAACTGAAGACATTCAAAATTGCAAATGAAGCCGGGATTTAAATATCCCGTGCTTCATTTGCATAATCGCGTTATGGCGCTATTTCCAAATAACCATGTCTTAGCAGCAGCTGTTATTTGGAAATAGCGCCATAACGCAATTATGCAAATGAAGCACGGGATATTTAAATCCCAGCTTCATTTGCAATTTCGAATGTCTTCATTTACATCCCTATTTCGAAATAGGGTGCAAGCGTAGACATACCCTGACTGACTTGGATTTCCTCCATGCAGCAGTCCAACAGTAAATAAAACTCAGACACTAATAATTAACAGCTTTGACCAGAATGGATCAGCCTCCTCCCACCTACCAGGATAGCTACATGCTCAAACATATATGTTTATATGTTAAAGACATTCATAATTCTATTACAATGTACATTAATACCATCTTGATGGAACAAACTGGTGTCCTATGGACCAAGGGATAATATGTTGATCCAAGACCATCTATGGACCACTTGCATAATTAATGCCAAGGGTGGAATGTGTTAATAAGTAGCAGTAATGTCAGAGGGATGCATCTTGGGATGTCTGAAAGGGACAAGTAATGCCAGCAGATTTTGCAGATAATTTTTTTTAAAAGCTATGCTTAAATTTCACTGTGCTGAAACCTCCCACAATACTGAGCGATTTAGTCCATGGCTTTTAAATTGTTCTGAATCTTGTGTATTATGCATTGGTCCAATAAAAACTATTCTCTACCTTTCCAATACAAATAAATCTAACCTACAACAATTGAACAGAAACAGCCATCTTAACTGATGGCTCTATCTGCCAGAGCGGACTCGGTACATCCTAAACAGTGGTCAATGGAGTTGTGGGACGTTGATGCAATTACTAGAAAGTTAGACCCTTGCCTAAAATCTTTCACCATCCTATTTCAATAAAGGTATTGACAGGTAAGTTCTGGAGAATGTTTGCGTTAAACTAGGCAAAAACACTATCTGTAGGGAATGCGATTTTCATTTAGCAATAAACAGATGTTAGGGAGAAGTTACAGAAACAACTAGAAGAATCTCTAAACCAAGGAAACCCATATGTCAGCATAGACAATGTGACTATGGCACTGACCTCATGACAGTTAGGTAGAAGAGGTGCTTAGATTAGTTAATCTTTAGACAAGTACTGTACAGGACTTCTCACAGTTTCCAAATCATGTTCTAGTAGCTCCTACTTGAAAACAGACTTAATATAGACTAAACTACCTCACTGTTTTGGTAATGCAGGTAAGTATCTCCAAGGGGACTAATAATGGGAATAAATTAATCTTCACTTGTTTCCAAATTGAAGTCTAACCCTTAGTTCTAGAGATGAAAGTCTGCGCACTGAATAGTCAACTAACATTGTATCCACTATTCAATGCAATTGGATAAAGCCACCTCCTGCATTTATAGAACTGTATTTGTAGTGCCATTTTTTGATTCCTCCTCCTCAGTCACTGAAGAGATTCAATGATCAGATCATACAAATGACAGAGTTATACAAATATTCGGATTTCAAAATGTACAACAAAATTAGGGATACAAAAAAGATGTTCTGAATATTTATTATGAGAACAGGAGCTTTTAGTTACACATATGTACATTAAAAAGTATTAAAATAATTTTAAGAGCTGAGAATTCCACTGCATCATGTTTTTTATGGCAAAGTTATTAGGATGATGTCCTCAGATGGATCTTTAGGCACCTTCAACAGTTCTTCAACTTCTTCTTGTAGAGCCTCAGCTTTTTCACTTAGCAGCATCTGCACTCACAAATTATGAGGAGACAGAGCACACACAAAGGACAATGCATTTATTCAATAGTGCATTTATTCAGTTCAGTGGTAAGATGAAACCCCAACATTCCCTGCATCAGTGATTCCCAACCTTTTCTGTACCACAGACGGGCAAACCCATTCACAAACTTTTGGTGGACTGGCAACATTTTATGTGCATATTTGTTATGCAAATAATGAATACGCAAATATGAAAATAAAATGTTACTGGTCTGCCAAAAGCCCTGGCCCCCAGAGCCACTGCGAACAGCTGGCTTCAGCTCCGGCAGTCACCACATGGCAGCCAGCTGCTGCAGCTGAAGTGGTCTGTTTGCGGTGGCTCTGGGGTACACCCCAGCCTCCTTAGCCTCCCAGTGCCAGCTCCTAACCCCTAGAGCCCCCCAGCCCTTCACTATCCCTCAACACCAGCCACTGACACAAAAGTCTCCTGCACCCAACCTCCCCAGTGCCAGCCCCCATCCCAAATGCCTTAGTGCCAGCCCCCCCGTGCCACCCTCCTGTTTCCAGAACTCCCAGTGGTGCCCCCCCCCCTCAGGCTGCCCCAGGGGCCCCCAGTGTCAGCCCCCCACCTCTTAAGAGTTCCCTAGTACTAGGCCCTGCCCTCAGAGCCCACCAGTGTTAGTTTCGCTCCCAGAATGCCAGCCCCCGTCTCTTAGATCCCCTCACCTCCTAATCCCCCAACACTTGCCCTGGAGCCCCCAGTGCCTGCCCCGTCTCCCGCAGCTAGCCCTGTGCTGCCTCCCAGCTGTCAGCTTAGCACTGCTGCCCGGGCTGTGGCTGCTCTAAGGCTGCTGTGCCGGGCTCCGCACAGCCCTCCGCCACGCAGCAAAGCGCTTTTCCGTGTCCGGGACAAGAACCCACCCCTGCCCGACTCTGGTTGGCTGAGAGGCAGGACAGGACATGTCTCTCCCAAAAGCTGCAGAGGAAGGGGAGGTGCTGGTCAGTGTACCCCAGCCCCAGCCCCCAGAGCCACTGCAGCCCAGTGGTTGGGAACCGCTGCCCTACATCACACTTAATCATTCAAACACAAGCTAAGAAGTTAGGTTATTAGGAACAAAATTACTATAATCTTGTTTTAAGACTTGCAAGCCACTAGGAGGATTTTCACATTTAATTTATCAATTCCATCCTACTTCAGTTTAAACTTAATGTGTCAAATCTAGAGGATTAGAAAATGTGTCATAATATGTACTGATTACAATTTGTATTGACCGTTCTAAGAAATGAGCAGAATTTCTTCTTGTTCTATTAACTCAGCTATATAAATAGGAAAATGTATGCCATTTAAACATTACAATCTCACAAATTTTTAGTGGTTTTGTTAAAAGCACTTTCAACAATGGGAAAACTTTTTAAATTGTAAAAACACTCAGTTAATGTTGACAGGTTGATCACAGAAATAAACAAAGCAGATGGATTCCTTGCATTAAGGAACAGTTGTATGCCTGTTATTAAAACCTTAAACATACTGTAGAAGATCACAGCGTTTCATGAATGTTTTGTAGCACCACATTTATTTTATTCTTCAGATTTCAGAAGTGGTATATTACTTTTGTTTCTTGGTGCTGTATTTAAAGTCCCTGGCATAGATATAGCTTAGAAATGTCAGATGAAAGCCAAACTTATATAAGCAGCACTTTGTTAAACTGGTACTAAAACTAAGTACGCCAACCCTAATTTATATGAATTATAAGATTTTCCTTCATATTATAAAGTGCTGCTGTTTCACCAGGCTTAGTAAATGAACTGCCTCTGCTGACTTGGTTACAAAAGTTGAACTACTTCTAGTTATTCTGACATTGTTGATGCTACCACACAAACAAGTGTATGAGCTGAGAGTTGGTTAGGAAAATGCTGTGAACAGGAAGAAAAAGCAAATTCTGCTTGTAATTTTTGTTCCGAGATTGGTCATATTTATTATGATCTCTGCTCTTCGATTATTTATCTGTTTAGCATTCACCATGCTTTACAGACACATTCGAAGCCAAAGTCTTTACCCTAAGGAGCATATGTTCTAATCTAAACAGATGATATACAAAGTAAAGAAAAGGATAGGGAGACAGTATGACTAAAAGTAATGTGACCACAAAACTAAAGTTAAGTACACATTGTTAGTTCTATAACTTGTGCATTTTTTTTAAACATTCTATAGTAAGCTGGCAATTTGTTAGGGGGCTGGAGAAGTGGGCAGGATATAATTTATAATTAAGAACTGTAACTTAGATGGGGCTACTATAAGGTGGGTGCATAACTGGCTGGATAACCGTTGTCAGGGAGTAGTTATTAACAGTTCTCAATCTTGCTGGAAAGGTATAACAAGCGGGGCTCTGCAGGGGTCTGTTTTGGGACTGGTTCTATTCAATATCTTCAAAAACAAATTAGATATTGGCATAGAGAGTATGCTTATTAAGTTTCCAGATGATACCAAGCTGGGAGGGATTGCAACTGCTTTGGAAGACAGGGTCATAATTCAAAATGATCTGGACAAATGGTCTGAGGTAAACAGAATGAAGTTTAATAAGGACAAATGCAAAGTGCTCCACTTAGGCAGGGACAATCAGTTTCACACATACAGAATGGGAAGCGACTGTCTGGGAAGGGGTACTGCAGAAAGGAATCTAGGGGTTATAGTGGACCCCAAGCTAAATATGAGTCAACAGTGTGATGCTGTTGCAAAAAAAAGCAAACATGATTCTAGGATGCATTAACAGGTATGTTGTGAGCAAGATACAAGAAGGTCATTCTTCTGTTCTACTCTGCGCTGATTAGGCCTCAGTTGGAGTACTGTGTCCAGTTCTGGGCACCACATTTCAAGAAAGGTGGAGAAATTGGAGAAGGTCCAGAGAAGAGCAACAAGAATGATTAAAATTCTAGAGAACATGACCTATGAAGGAAGACTGAAAGAATTGGGCTTGTTTAGTTTGGAAAAGAGAAGATCGAGAGGGGACATGATATCAGCTTTCCGGTATCTAAAAGGGTGTCCCAAGAAGTAGGGAGAAAAATCGATCTTCCTGGCCTCTGAGGATAGAACAAGAAGCAATGGACTTAAATTGCAACAAGGGAGGTTTAGGTTGGACATTAGGAAATAGTTCCTAACTGTCAGGTTGGTTAAACACTGGAATAAATTGCGTAGGGAGATTGTGGAATCTCCATCTCTGGAGATATTTAAGAGTAGGTTAGATAAATGTCTATCAAGGATGGTCTAGACAATACTGGGTCCTGCCATGAGGGCAGGGGACTGGACTCGATCTCTCGAGATCCCATTCGGTCCTAGTATTCTATGATTCTATCTTCTCCTACCATGATCAGTGCTACAGTTTCCAGATGTTAAATTCCGAGGCACTAAACTGCCTCACAGTGGTGAACGTGCAACTGTAATTACTGCATGGAACTAGGAGCCGGGTCACTGATTCCCTACATGGCCTTAGGCAAGTTAATCAACTTCTTTGCCTCAGTTTCTCTACTAGTTAGGTGGGAATACTCCTTCTCTCTCATCTTGTACAATCCTTTGAGATCATTGGATGGAAATAATACTTTGCACTTGATAGCACTTAGACACCATTGAGGCACAGGGGTCACCCAAGGACTCCTTCATTTCTTTTATAGCAACATGAAGGAAACCCCACTGGGGAAACAGAGTTCGATTAGGGATCTATTACAGTCCTCAGAGGCTCAAAAATTAAGAGCCAGATTTTCCAAAGGAACTCCGCACTTAGTTTCCATATATATAAACAACCCCCCACCTCTCCTAATACATGGGAGATTTAAGTGGAAAATTTCCACTAGTAAATTTTGCATGTTGATCCTAGCTAGTCACAAATTACTTCATCAATCTTCTGGGGAAAGATACAGACACTAAGTATCTCTCCACTCTTGTAGCCTAATCAGTTTCCCTCTGCTGGCCAACCCTTTCTCTATGTCAAAGTTTTCACTCACAGTTCCATCTTTGCCAATATTCATTTCATGGCTCAAGTAGTCAAGTTCTGCTCACCTTTGCAGATGAAACAATTTGTCTAGCTTGACGTCGTGACAAATGCTCGATCATCTTGACCAATGTTTCTGGATTCGCATTAGCTAGATGTGCTAGAGTTTTATATCCTGAATCATACAGCTGTTTTGCTCGAGACTGCAAGTCAAAAACAAGGCAGTTTTAGAAAGTAGATTAGTAAATAAAAAGTCCAAACCTCTGATCTCACCTCTCAATTCATTCATCTGTTAGCCAATCTGATTACTTCAAAGAGCAGCAGAGTGATACTGTACATAAATGAAGTCCACTTACTGTTACAAAAGTTTACTAAATTAAATTTGCTCCTGAAAAAGCCATTATTTCTTCTCTACATCCTTATTCAGCTCTTAGTAACCTTTCTGTCTTTTCCACATCATTTCCTCTCAAGACATGGATTTGTATAGACCTGTCTTTCCTCTTATTGTTATCTCTTAGCATTCATTGTCCTCTATGAAAGCTAAGCACATTTGAAATATCTGGCCACTTCATTTAAGAGCCTAAATGGAAACAGCTGAGTGCTTTAAAATCTGGCTCTTTAAGTGTTGATCCTGTGAGGACTGCCACTGCCATGAAATGAGAATGCTCAATAGCCGTACAGTCTCCGATAATAAGCTTAGAACAGAAAAAGTATTTTAATTTTATAGATCATATTTTGTTTTTCTTCCAACATCTGAGTAATACCACCCGTGTTTCACTTTTTAGGACTGACAAGCAATTACAAAGTTAATCACGATTAATTGCATGATCAAATCACACTGTTAAACATTAATAGAATACCATTAACTTAAATATTTGAATGTTTTCAGGGGGCGAGGTGGGTGGCATGGTGGGGAGTTTTAACCTTCATGGCTAGGGAGCTCTAGCCTGGCTGGGGAGCTCTGGCTATAAACAGGGAGCTCTGGATGTGGCAGCAGCCAAGGGAGCTCCAGCCCCAGCCCCATTCTTGGCTCCAGAAGCCAGGGAGGGCCAGCCCCAGCAGCAGTCCACATACCCACTCAGTTCTACTTCTTGTTCAGCCAATCGCTCAGACCAGTGTTTCCCAATTTTATTTGGCCATGGAACCCCTAGGGTTGTTCACAATTCAAACAAACAAACAAAAAAAGGACCCACTGCCACTTTTCGGTGAGCAAAAAGAGTCCAGACGCAAAAAAGCTCTGTCTCGAAGAGGGGGCAGGAGCGCGCCAGATCCTCTCAGAACCCTTACTTTCGCAGAGCACCGATTGGCAAACACTGGCTCAGACAAACAAGTCTAGTTACTATTTGCGGGAGATAATACACCCACTTCTTGTTTACAATGTCACCTGAAAGCAAGAGCAGGCATTCACCTGGCATTGTTGCAAGGTATTTATGTCCAGATGCCCTAAAGATCTGTATGCCGCTTCATGCTTCAACCACCATTGACAGGCTATGCTAGATAACAAGAGAAGGCAGAGAGGACTGACATACGTTCATTTTCATTATCCAAGTCAGATGCCACCAGCAGAAGGTTTATTTTCTTTTCTGGTGGGTTTAGGTTCTTTAGTTTCTACATCAGAGTGTTGCTCTGAAGACTTCTGAAAGCATGCTCCACACCTCGTTCTTATCAGATTTTGGAAGGTGCTTGAGATTCTTAAATTCTAGATCCAGTACTGTAGCTATTTTTAGAAATCTCACACTGGTACCTTCTTCATATTTTGTCATCTGCAGTGAAAGTATTTTTAAAACCAACACGTGCTGGGTCATTATCAGCAACTGCTATAACATGAAATATATGGCAGCATGCAGGTAAAACAGACCAGGAGAGACAATTCTCCTCCAAAGAGTTCAGTCACAAATTTAATTGATGCTTTTTTTTAAAATGAGCATTAGCATGGAAGCATGTAGGGATGTAATAGTGCAGTTGATTAACCAATAAGCAAAAGCTTATAGCTAAATGCTATAGACTACATGCATTCCCGCCCCCTTCACTTGCCAGTAAATTTTTTAGTAAGCTGGCCAGCAATCTAGCTCAGTCCTGGCTTGCAACTGGTCTAAGACCTTCCCCTGCTGTGGCTCTGCATTTAAAATGTATTAGTAGCTGGGTGGTTAGGCAGCCCAGCTCAGTTCTGGCTTGCACCAGCTCCAGGAGCTCAGACCCACCCTAGACAGGAGCTGTTGCCTCTATCAGAAGTAGGAGCACAGTGAGACAGGCAGCTAGTCTGCAAAGGGAGCTGGTTTTTAAACTGGCTCCATCGCAGACCAGCTCCCACCCGGCACCCTGTGCTATTGCCTCCGATATAGAAGCAGCAGCAAGGAGTGGCAGGGGGCTAACTGATAAGAATCTTGAGGTTACTCGAGTATTCAATTAACCGATATTTAACATCCCTAGGAGCATGTCCTATGGAGTAGAGGCTGAAGCATGAAGGGGCATATAAATGTTTAGCATATCTGGCACAAATACTTTCCAACGCTAGCTACAAAAGTGAAATGTGAATGCCTGTTCTCAGGTTCTGGTGACACTGTAAATAAGAAGCAGGCAGCAGTTACCTCCCATAACTGTAACCCAACTTCCTCTCTCAGCTGAGCAAGGAGTAGAACCAAGTGAACTTCTAGGCTCTTAAGTTTTACATTGTATTTTGTTTTTGAATGCAGTTCTGTAACAAAACCCTTTACATTTGTAAGTTACTCTTTCACAATAAAGAGATTGTACTATAGTATTTGCATGAGGTGAACTGAAAAAGACTTTTTTACAGTGCAAATAACTAATAAAAATCTGAAGTGGCCACTGTACACATTGCATTGTAATAGAAAACAATGTATTTGAAAATGTAGAAAAACATCCAAAATATATAATAAATTTCAATTGTTATTCTACCATTTGACAGCACGTTTAATCATGATTAATTTTTTAAATGACAATTAATTTTTTTAATCACATGAGTTAACTGCAATTAATCAACAGCCCTATTGGTTTTTGGATTGGGCGCAAAGCTGTGACTATGGATTCTCATATAAGGAAGAGCTATAGTATTTAAGAAATAGGATCATTCTTTTTATTATTGTTTGGTTTTCTTTTCTTAGTATGAACCTTAATAAAATGCCTGTTATAATGGAAAAAAACAAAGAAGCCAAAAATGGCACTTATGAGATAGATCTTTGTTGCAAAATTAGTTGCGCTAGGTCTTACACAGCATAATGACAACCACGGATATTATGTTTTTTATATAAAACAAGGTAAATAAAGATTGTTCTGCAGCTTGAGCTAAATAAAAAGCTGAACTTGAATGCACAAATGCTATCCCCAGGCTTCACTGAACTTGAACTACCTTCCAGATTTTTTTTCTTCTCTTGCTTAGTTCCATTAATATTCTTCTATTCAGTCCTATCTGCTTACATTTTCCTTTTTAATAAAGAAACAAGCCTTAAAAGGTCTAGAGACTTTAAAATGTCCACTAGAGTAGTCCTGGACTAGAAATGTTTAACCATACAATTATAGGGCACGGACATCATAGAATAGTTTTGTAGCTGCCTGTAACTATCTTCCCATATAGGAAAGACTGCATTGTCCAGTTACGTTATGTACTTGATAATTATAGTTTATTTGGATGGTTCAGGGTGTCCGCAGGATAGTGAATTCAGTCCTACAGGAACTATGTTATTTCATTCTTTTGACAATATGATTTTGGAGAATAAGTACAGACAATGTTTCTCCCTCAGGGCCTTATTTGTAACATGGATTTTAATATCAGAGGGGCAGCCGTGTTAGTCTGAATCTGCAAAAGCGACGAGGAGTCCTGTGGCACCTTATAGACTAACTGAAGTGTAGGAGCATAAGCTTTCGTGGGCAAAGACCCACTTTGTCAGATGCATCTGACAAAGTGGGTCTTTGCCCACGAAAGCTTATGCTCCTACACTTCAGTTAGTCTATAAGGTGCCACAGGACTCCTCGTCGCTTTTATGGATTTTAATAGTGTTTCAGTCACCCAATTCCATGGGAGTCAAGCCTGCATTGCTGACCACACCTTACATTCAACATCTTCCAAAGGACACGTCTTGGGCAGTAGCCCATAGAGCAGCAGCAGTCATATTTTACCCTGATAACTGTAAAACAAAACTTTGACAGAACTATACAATTCCACTCTACTTCATTTAAAGAACAACTGAAGTGGTAGAGAGACTCAGTTTCCCCTTTGTATCAAGTTCAGAAACCTTGACATGGAGAAAGGATTGGTCAGCAGAGGGAAACTGATGAGGCTATAGCCAGTTCCCTTTCTGAGCGCTAAGCACTACTACTGCTGAACAAGATGACAGTAGGAGCATTTGTCCACAGTATGATCTAATTGCAGAATCATTTAACTTTGAAATGAAGCCAGAGAATGCATATTAGATAGCACTCGAGGCAATATTTACCAAAAAAGATTAACCTGAAGGAACCTGTTCAAATATCAAGTCAGAGACCCATATGATTTTCCCCCTAAACTGTGAGCATAATCAGAAAAGTCACTGTAAAAAAGTAGCACCTTCCAATTCAAGATGTCTGCTTCATGTAGGAAGCTAATCTCTTGACTACAGTGATAAATTAAATTACTTTTAACTCTTAACAACTCCTTTTAATGCCATTTTTTACTCCTATTAACCTTGCAGAGCTACCGGTACTACAAAAGAAAACCCAGGATTCTGTTTTAGCTTGAGCATCACCAGAATTGGTAACCAGTGTACTGTGTGACATCTTCATTGTTGCTGTTGTAGCAGCCAGAAGGAAAAAGCAATCTGAATGCAAAATATGAGCTTGTAGCCAGTTCCCCCTTAGCTACATAGTGCAGTTTACCATTAAGCCCCACACAAGAGCTATTAAGCCCTGTGCAGGAGCTCAGGACTGCAGTGGGGAAGAGACCTGAAAGGCCAGCAGAGAAGAACTGCTGTGGCTGGCAAAGAGGAGCCACTTCCCTACCAGCCCCAGAGGGAGCTACCAAAGTAAGCCTTAGTACCAATCCCGTGCCCCACCTTGAGAATCCCCCTAGCTCTGAGCATTCTTCTGCACCCCAAAGTCCTCATTCTTGACCCCATCTCTAGCCCAGAGCTTATACCCTCCTGCATTCCAATACCCGACCTAGAGCCTGTACCCCCACTCCTAAAACCCATTCCCCAGTCCTGTGTCTGTACCACCCTCCTACACTCCAACCATATCCCTAAGCCCCTTCCTAAACCTGGAGCCCCCCTGCTTCATCCCAAAGCCCATATCCCCAGCCCAGAGCCTGTACCCCCTACATCTCAAACCCTTCATGCCAATCCTACCCCATTGCCTCCCCTGTACCCCCTACATCTCAAACCCTTCATGCCAATTCTACCCCACTGCCTTCCCCCCAGCCAGAGCCCTTGCACCCCAAACATCTGTACCAGCCCTGAGACTCCAACCCCAGACCACCCTAGAAACTGCACCCCCAGCCAGAGCCCTCACATTCCTGCACCACAATCTTGACCCAGGCCTGAGCACCCTCTCCCACACTTAGAAACTCTTGGCCGCACCCCTGCCTCATTAATTGTATTATGTGCACCAATATGATGGCGATATGTCATACATCACCTCTCCACTACAACACCTAAGAAAATGTATTTCACTCAGTGATGGAAAAAATTAGAGGGAACGCTGCTTTTACTGCTTACTGGGAATTGCTTTGCTGACAATTCGTAAAGTCAACAAATTAGAGGGAACGCTGCTTTTACTGCTTACTGGGAATTGGTTTGCTGACAATTCTTAAGTCAATGTTTGCTCACACTTTGGTTTGTTAAACATATTCAAATAACTAGTATCAGTCAGATTTGTTGCCATAAGCAAATAATAATGTAATGCAGGAAAAAGGTTCAACGGAAAAGCAGTCTATGGAAAACCATCTTTATTCTGGACACGTGGATTCCAGGTACTGAGGGCATGAAGACATTTATAAATCTGTACTAGGGTACACTTGAGCCTGACAGTTTTCCTATCTACTTAAGCCCAAGCTTACTTCAGCAAATTCAAGCATAGTGAAAAGTAGTATAGTAAAGGCACAGGTCATTTTAGGCCATATAATCACTACATTATTTGTGCTTAATGGGGTATTTATGTAGCCAACATATATTGGTTAACACTTTTTATTTATGAACAGATTAACTATGAAAGCCATTGAAACACAAAGATGGCCCTCCACATTTAGCAGCATAATTTTATTTTCACTGTAGATTCTGAAATGCAAAAAGATTTAACAAGGTTTTAGCAACATGCTAGATTCTTAATACAATTTTTTTTTGCTTCTTCCTTAAACATTTGAGAAAATCCTGGTTGAATTTAGGAATAAAGCTTAGAGATATATGAACTCCCAAATTAGGTTTACTAACCTCTAAAACCCCTGCCACCTCCATAAGAGGGATGAGTTCTGCCTTAACACAATAGGTCAGTCGCTTTGTAAGTTCTGTCAGCAGGGCTTTATAAACCCAAAATTCCTCCATCTCCTGTAAAAACAGAAGATGTTAAAGTCTGCAAAGTAACTTTACAATTCTAGTTGAATTCCTGTACTCTGGGCTAGTATTCTGGTTGAAGCATTGTCAAGGCAGCATATGTGTAGCTGTTGGAAGAGGGTTTATACCATTTTTAGTAATCCTTCTGGTCAGTTCCAAGAGTTCAATCCAGCATTCCTCAGCTAGTCATCCCAAACCTAGGCTCTTCAGAAGGATGTGGAAATATTTTAGGGAGAACATGTTCTTTGGAAGTCATTTTGGACTTTCTGAATTTGTAAGGCCAAAGTAGTAGTTGGAACTGCCAATGCAGCCTTGTTTCCAAGAAGCCACCAGGCAATGAAACGGCCTGATTTTGTGTGGGAAAAAGGGAAAGCCTTTGTCAATGTGCATACTGACACTTTTGTAGCAAAGCTGCAAATACACGTGCTAGACTTGCTGTTTATTCAGAGCATAAGTGTATAAAAACTTGCCCTCAATATAAGAACTAATTGTTACAGCAAATATTTTTATATCTAACTTCATTTCTAAAAAGTAAATGTACATTGTTGGATAACGATGGCATGATTTTAATGCTCAGTAGTTAAGTTCTAAAATTCTACAGAAGAAAATCACCCTATATCTCAGACTTTGATGATACATTTTTATATTATGTAAAACCAAAAATGTCCACCAATGCCATGCTAGACTGTTAGACTGACTTCTTTTACCTCACAAAAGTGCAGCACACAGGAGGAAAATGAGGCAGCAGAGTTCAGGAGATTTTGAACATATCCTCTAGACATGTTAAATTTTTCTGAAACATTCCATATGTTGGTCTCTTTCAATAGGTCATAAAGAACAAAGGACAGATACAGTCTATTTACAACACTGTTGTCCACATCCTGGCAAGACAGATAAACATGCTAAGTTAGAACTGTGAGCTAGAATCCAATAGATAAAACTGAAAGAGTATCAGAGAAGCACTCTACATTGCTAGGGGAATGGACTATCATAATAGGGCTTTTTCATCTCTAAACTTCTCTAATCCTATGAAACAGTCAAATGTAATAGGGTTGCATTTGAGAGTTTGGCTACGTCTAGACTGCAGGCTTCTTTCAGAAGAAGCTTTTCTGGAAGAGATCTTCCGGAAAAACTTCTTCTGAAAGACAGCGTCCACACTACCAAAGTGCATAGAAAAAATGATCTCCTTTTTTGAAAGTTAGTGTCTGCACACCAAAGTGCATAGAAAAAATGATCTCCTTTTTTGAAAGTTAGTGTCTATTCAGTGCAGACACTATCTCTCATTTAAGCTGTGATTACTATGGACAGAGGGGCCACCAGGGCACCTGTGCTTTTTCCTGTTCTTTTGAAAGAACTCCCTCTTCCCCATCCACACATGCCTTTTTCCAAAAGAGCTCTTTCGGAAAAAGGCTTCTTCCTCATAGAAAGAGGCTTAGCAATGTCAGAAAACCCCCTCTGTTTTCATTTTTTTTCCTCCAAAAGAACACGATTGTAGCGTGGACTTAAGTGAAAGTTTTTTTGGAAAAAACTCTGTAGTGTAGACATAGCCTTAGTGATGCAAGGGAGGAAATAATGGGAAACATTTTGGGGAAACAAAGATTAGTTCAGCCTATTCTTACTGTGTATACCTCAGTCAGGTTTGTGTTTCTAAAAACTGTAATAATTAAGCAATTAGGAGTCCTGTGGCACCTTAAATTCTAACAGATTTATTTGGACATAAGCTTTTGTGGGTCAAAACAACTTCATCAAGTATATGGTGTGGAAATCAAAGAGGTAGGGAAATTATAATACTCACACACTAGAAGACTTACCCAGTGTTGCCTAGGGGCTGTAGGTGTGCAGGCATCAGGGGCCTTGGAGGATGTGACAGGGGCAGGGGTCAAAGTGGGGAACTAAGAGGGGTTCAGGGTGAGGGGTCCCATCTGGCAGGGCTTTCCCTCCTCCCCACCCAGCCAACAGGGGCCTTCTGTCTCCTCCCAACCCCCCAGCTGGCAGGGGCCTTCTCTTTCCACCCACCATCCTCCTGGCTGACAGGCCCCCCTCCCCCAGTGCTGTGACCAAGGGCTGGGGGTGGAGGGAGAAGGGATTGGGGGCAGGTGGGCTACTTACTCAGTCTGGTGGCAGGCAAGATGGCAAGACCCTGCTGGCTACTCTTGGTGGTGCGGTCACTCTATATAGTAGCTCTCCCCCCTGCGCTAGCTGCCCCCAGTGGCCACTCTCTGTGCCCTCTCCCTTTCCATCTTATGGTAAAGAAGTCCCATTTCCCACAATTCCCATCTTTTTGGCACAACCAAACACTGACCTTACTTTAAGTTAGGATAAGAGGAAGCTGCATACCAAATTTGGTGGTCCTAGCTCTTACCGTTTAAGAGGTGTTCTTGAACAGACTCATGGAAAGACAGACTTTTCTAAAATATAGCTAGATACATACACACAAGCATATAAAAAAGAAGGACTTGATATGCTAGTGTGTGTGTGTGTATCTATCTATCTATCTGGGGGGGGTGTAATATTTTAGAAGTGTGTGTCCATCTCAGAGTCTTTTGTTCAAGAACTCCTCTTATACGGTAAGAGCTAGGACCACCAAATTGGGTCTACAGTTTCCTCTTTTTCTAAATTAAAACAAGGTCAGAGTTTGGTTGTGCCAGGACAATTGGATGTTCCGGGAATTTGTTTCTCATAAAAATGTAAAGAGAGGGGTTTGGCAGAAAGGACAGTTATACTACAAAATGCCCTTGCTGCCTCCCTGTGGTCAAGCCGGAGAGGGGGACCAGGACAGCTATAATTCCACTGGACCAGCAGGGGACAAGAATGTTGAAACAGACAGATAACTACTATGTATTTCAGAGAGTTTATCTGTCTGTCCCCCAGCCAGCAGACATACACTCCTCCCCAGGCTGTGGCCACTTCAGCTGCAGTGGCCATGGACAGGCACTTCTCATCTAGCTCCAAGATGCTCTGGTGAAAAAGGGCTGGGGTTGTCCTCGCTCCCTGGGAGAGCCTGCACACTGAAGCCCTCATCCTCAGCCCTACACCAGAACAATTAATTAAATCAAGAAAAACAACAACAACAACAAAACTTATTTAAGTTAAGGATGCAAGCAATGCCAAGTAAATCTTCTAGGATTAGATAGATATCCCTACCTCTGCGATTTCTACTCCAGAAGCTTATGCTCAAATAAATCTGTTATTTTTTAAGGTGTCACAGGACTCCTTGAAGTTTTTTTATGGATACAGGCTAACTCGTCTACTTCTCTGAGACCTATAATAATGAAGTGGTAGGTTTGCCCTGGTCAACATGAATGTCTTGAATCCTACAATTTTCACGGCTATACAATATAAACACACTATAACAACTTTATATTATACAAAAAACAGGCCATTACCTTAAAAAAATCATATATTTCTCTCTAAAAATTGCGCATTTCCTAATTACATACCACCCTTAAAATTACAGTAAAAGCCCAATTAGCTGCACTATGAAAAAACAATTCAGTTGAAAAATATTACAATTCTATCATTTTTTTAAATAAAAATTAATTTTCAGCCTACTTTTTTGATGGCTTGTCCAGAAGCTTTCTTCGTAATAAAACTTTCAGAGACTCCTACAGTAGCTGCTACCTTCTGCTCTACTGAACTGAGATGGCTGAACTAAAAAGCAGAATTAAAAAACCCAATAGTACAGCTAAAAACAATTTCTATATTAATCAAATTAAGAACGATACCTTTAAAATATAATATTAAATTACAATACCACAGTTAAAAGACAGCTTCAAATATATAACAATTTTCCTTTAAAAATGTCCTAAATATCTATGTTAGAACAGAGTCCATCTCCTCTTCCACAACACATCTGAATGTATGCCACATGTACAATCACTTCTCCCTTATCTGTAGCATAGCTCTTTATGTGGGCACAAATATCATTACACAATAATTTGAGCTGTAAATCTATACTTTTATCTATCACAGGAGATATGCAAGAAGGCAGTGAAAATTGAGAACTCATGTTCAACCTAATCACTATCAAATTCTAAAGCTTTAAGGAGACAAAAAAAGTTTCCTTTAATTTTAGTATCTTTGCATAATATTGATAAAATATTTAAGTAATGCTAAGAAGAACACCAAAAAAAGACAACTTAAAACAAATGCTTATCAAATGGCTGTCTCTGTAATCATTCACAGAAACAAGCTATGGAAAATATTTTATCAAAAGTCAAAGACTATTTTCTCTTTATTCCAGCATAAGAATAGCTCCCAGATGTCTTTAGAATACTTTATTTTACTTTTCTCCTATGTTTAGTACTTTTTATAAAGGATGCTCTATACAAAATACATTTTATTTCTAATGTAAACAATACAAAAGTGATCTATTTATCACTTCAGCATCAACCAATTTATTTTGCTTTACCCAGAACTCAGCAGTTTCCTTGGCTACCCTTTGAACTGCCATGTATCTTGACTTTCACAGACTTCTACAAAGCTTTAGGGATTTTAATGCTATCACTAGCATATTACACTTTACGATCACTGTCTAAGGGCATGTTTAAACTGCAGCTGAGTGCATACTTCCCAGCACAGAAAGACAAACACACATATACTGGCACTGCTCAAGTGCATTACTAAAAATAGAAGCATAGCAGGGTTAGCACAGATTACTAAAAATAGAAGCATAGCAGGGTTAACACAGATAGCAACTCAGACTAGTTGCCTGAATACAAATGTCTAGACCCCCCGAGCAATATATTTGGATGACAAGCCCAAGCCACTGTCTGCGCTACACTTTATGTATTTCAATTGTCTAGCCATGCTTAGAAGCACACTCCCAGCTGCAGTGCAGACATACCCTGAAGAAGGCTTTACAGTCCACAGATTAGACTAAGTAGAGCTAAAGTTCATAAGATGCAAAACTATATTGTGTACAGCATTGTGTTTGGTCCTGTGTCAAGCACTGTCTCTGTTATGTATCTATCTCAGGTCTCCTGGTGAACAGCTCATTGGATCACACAGTTCCAATGAGTGAAATAATAAACTGATTTAGCATATCGTTACATTTGATCCTTGCTACTGTACTAGTTACATTTTGAATCAATATGATCATTTCCATTTAATTTCTCTTTAATAACAGGCCATCAGTACATTAGCTTGTCCAGTTTCTTTAATTTATTAATTGTAGCTGCTAGGTGGCTAGTAGGTCAAAAATTATAAACAAAAGTCAACAGCTATATAATCCAACCAGTATTTTGCTGTGCGGGAAAGCCACATCTTACTTGTCTAAAATAGATCATCCAGTCTGGGTTACAGTGATAAATCATGTCATAGGGAGTTGTCAGATACAGAAGATGAAGGCAGCTCTCAAGAACCAGCCCCTGAAGCCCTTTTTTCAAATCTCTGTAGAGAGCATCACAATAGGCCAAATCTATAGACCCTAAAATAAAATTAGTATAAAGATACTAGTTTAGGTAACAGTGAGAGTTAAATATAATATACTGTATGTCTTACATAATTCTCCCTCTGTTCTTTCTTTAGGAGGCTTTTAATAGAGTCTGTATTTCAGTAACCAACATAATGCCATGGACTTCCAAATCTAATGTATTAAGCCAATAAGAAATGCATTTTACTACCCACAAAATGGCAACACTTCATCAGGATGACCCCCTGGAGTGTACAACAGAGGCCAAATATACTCAGTACTATTTGTATAAAAGAAAAAGCAGTTAAAATCAAGGGAGAAATGTAAGATCCTTGGTCTCTATTTTTAATGGGGTTGATATTTGACTATTATGACTTAGTAGACAAGACAGGAACATAGAAACTGTCATACTGGATCAGGCCAGAGGTCTTTCTAGCTCAGTGCTAAATGCTTCGGAAAATGATGTAAGAAGGTAGACAAGTGTAGACACTCTCCCACATTAGATCACATCCTGACATCAACAGAAAGATTGACTTAAATACTGAAACATGAGGTTTAATATAACTTCTACTATTTTTGTTATTAATTATAACTAGTCGGGAAATTCTTGATAGCCATATAAGTGTTCAATCCCTTTTTGAATCTTCTTAAATTCTTGGCTTCAACAATTTCCTTTAGCAACAAGTTCTGCAATTTAACTACATGTTGTGTGAAAAACCATGTGTCAGTTTTGAGCTTCCAACTTTTAATTTCATATCCTGCACTCCTGAATGGTAAAAAAAAATCTCTGATCTAGCTTCTCAAAACTTGCATATACTTATATAATATCCCCTCTTTTTTATTTCTTTTCTAAGGTAGACAGTCCCAATCTTTTCACTCTTACTATGAGTACTACTTTCACACAACATTCATGATGAAGCCACACACTGAAAATTTTATATAGGCATTAAGATAGTCTTCACTACATTCCTCATTAATCCTAATATTCTTTGCTGTTTTGACCAGTAGCTGCACAAACCTTACTCTTCAGAGCTACCTATAGTGATGTCATGCCCCTTTCCTGAAAGGACAGAGTACATTTAGAAATCGGAAAAAGTGTGTTTTTCCTGCCAATGTGTGCTATTTTACATTTATACACCCCTTAGTTTGTCATATTATTGCCCATTCACCTAGCTTATTTAGGATTCTTTGAAGTTCCTCATTAAGCAACACAGAATCTACATTACAGAATCTGGGACATTATGCTGTTAATTTTTTGCCAAGATGAAAATGGATTGTTTCATCATACTGTTTACTTTCCTGTCCTCCTATCCACGTTTTGATCCATCATAACAGCTGTCATAATACTTTGCCTCTCATCCTATGACTACGTAGCTTCTTTACTACCCTCTTTCTGAAGTCTAAATAGTTTATGTTCACCATTTTTCCACTGTCTACTAATATACAAACTGATTCAAAGAATTCTAAGACATTAGTGAGACATGACTCTCCTTTACAATAACAATGCTAATTAAATCCTATCGTAAGTTTCCACGTGTTTTGTTATTTTGACATTTTTCAGAAAGGAAATAAAGGTACACCTACACAGCACACTTATTTTAAAATAAGCTATTTTGGAATTTTCTCCCCCCAAAATAGCTTATTTTGAAATAGTATGTCTACACTACAGGGAAGCCTCAAAATTAGTCTGAGGCAGGCTTCCCTAATGTGGACATGCTACCTTGAATTAGAGCCACAGGAGGCACTTTGGGAATAATTACTTTGAATGGCCCTATGGAGGAGCTATTTTGAAATGGCAGCAGTGGAGCATAGTGTTATTTCTCGAGGAATGAGGTTCACAGATTTCAAAATAAGCTGTCAGTTATTTCAGAATTATTTTGAAATAACGGAATTGCTGTGTAGACAATCGCATTGTTATTCTGAAATAATGCTACTGTGTAGATGCACCCCAAGAGGTTGAAAAGGAAATAAGAGGTTGGATGAAAGTTTTGCTGAATGTGAAGAGAAAAGGGTCACATTTTTTTAAACACTATTGTAAAAAATGTATGACAAAAATGAAGAAACAACTCTCACCTTTGTAGGTAGCTTGACCCAACTGTGTGATCTCTAGATTACTTTGGGATTTCTGTTCCTTTTCAGAGATCATTTTTCCTTTAAGGAGTCCTTTTTCTATCAGGCATTCCAGTGCTTCTCTAGTTATATCTGAGAGGCTCTTTTCTTTAGACAGAAACTGTTGCTGAACACCAAACAACGTGCTGCACATAAAGTGGTAGATTTCTTCAGGGTTTCTTGCAATCTACAATATTTTAGTTTGTGATTGCAACATTATGTTTAAACAATCTGAACAGTGTTATGCGTAACATGATAGATAAATACCAACCTACAATCTTTGTCTAGCTGAAAACATGCTTATGAAGACATAGGGCAACACTTTTAATTTTATGTTGCTACAGAACCATGTGATACCTCCGTTACTACAGACATTCTGCCTGGGAGAGATTGATAAAACACTAAACACCCTCTTGTACTAACATTCCAAATTTTAGTGTATTCCTTTTTATTTGGGTGGAGGGTGTTAAGGAGCAAGTAATATTAGAACATGTTTAAAACCAATGCAGAAACAGAGCAGAAACCACTTGGGACTTTGCATTAGGAATTTTTTCCTTTATGTTTCAAAATGATTTAACAATTGAGTTAGCCAACACAAAGATGATCTCATAATCATTAGTGTAGACACGGACAAATTATGCTCAGCATTGTGCAAGCTAGTTGTGGTTTAATTCAAGGCCTTAGTGAATATTAACGTAACTGTTCTTCACCTTACTGAAACAAAATGATCCCAAGCAATACAACAACTCTGAATTCAGTTACTGTAAAGCTGTTCTGTGAGAAAAGCAATCCTATCAGTATATACAAGAAGTACAGTTAATCTGTATCAGCACTCCTAATATCAAAATGCATCTCTTTAATTGCTCACAAAAGAATTAAATTATTACCTTTAATCCAACCAAAGATAGGAGCAGACCTTGGAATCCCTTAGTGTATTCAACGAAGAGGCTGCTGTAACAGTTCTCCAAAGGACTGTTTATTAAATCCCGAACCTAAAAAACAAAGTAATTGCTATTTATACTGTGCATTCATAGAGTCTCCACAGGTGAAAATATTTCACTTTCAAAAGAATATCTTCAAGGTTTATTTTAAAATCAAGTTAATAAATAGGAAAATTGCTGGAGATAGCCAAGTTTTAGGACTGACCTTTAGAGTGATAAGCGCATGTGTCAGAGACTATGTATGCTGCAAAGAATACAGCTGGTCTCCAACGACAGGTCAGAAAAGGGCTCTGGCTGCCCTTATGATTGCAGAATATAAAGTAATTATTAGAAAGAGTCAAACAGTTGCACACACACACACAAAAAGATTGCCCCAAACTTATTTGAAAGCAGCAAACAATTTAAATATCCCTCTCCCATCAACTTCTTTTGATGACTCAAACCACCACCTTTTTGTTTAAGTTACCAGATTTTTGTCTTTTTCTTGCACTATAAGAATACTTTCACCAGCACTGTCGATACCAGCTCGACCAGCTCTGCCAATCATCTGCTTATACTGGTTCTTCTTCAGAAACTCTGTAGCAATATAGGGAGCCCTTAAAATAACCCTAAGAAAAAAAAGAGGAGACTCTGAAAAAGCTACATTCTGTAGTAGGTGTACTAAAACATCAGTAAAGTTATATTAAACACCAGGCTCTCCAGAAGAGAAAAGTTAATATTTGCCTCACGATGCACAACTCATTGTTAATGAGAATTATGCATGCCTGTCAAACCAAAATCACACACAGCATATTTTTTTTGAAAATTAAGAGCAATATTGAGCATACTTAAATAATCTAGAAATAATATGGATAAAATATGAAGACGTGTCAAACTGAATTTTGTATCTTTTAGGGATTGTATCAGTCCCCATCACTATAGCACAGATTCGACCTCTATGGTCCAGATTTCCATATGGACTATGTGCAACATCTGCGGTCTGGCATCCCAAGGGTGCTCCCAGGCTGGAGCACTATTAGGGGAAAATCTGGGCCCCACGCTCAGCAACTACACCACAGTCCTCCCAAAGTTTCTGAAACTCAAGCTCAGGGGAGGAACGCTTGGGGAAAAGGCAGTGTGGCTGCTGAAACTTTTGACTAGGGAGCTCAGCCCCATAGCTGGCAGCGGGGCCCGAAAGCACAGCCCTGCGGCTCGGTATGCTTCTGCAAGGGCTGTGCTCCTGACTCTGCCTGTGGGGCTTTGCAACCATCCTGCCTCTTCCTCAACCCCTACTCAGTCAAGGTCAGTCCCTCTGTTGCTGCTGCCACCCTGCAGGAGGCGACAGCATAGGGGACGCATCAACCCTCCCTGGTCTGGCGGATTCCCTGGTTCAGGGCTGGTCAGGTCCCAAAGGTACCAGACCAGAAGGTGCAAACCTGTAGATTCTAAGCACCTTATTAGCATTAAAAAAGCCAAACAAACAACTATGCCACCCGCCACTGTTCAGTCATTAAATTCTCAAACAAGCACCTTCGTACTTTCTCCCAGGCTGCCCTTTATATTTTGGAGGAGTTCGCCAAAAACATCTGCAAAACTCTCATTTTCATTCAAAACATACTTTCTCCACAAAAACAACTTGTTGATGGGTATGGCTGCTTGTGTGCCAAGACTACAGGTTTGCACACTGATCAATACTGTCTCACTATTGCTCTGTACCCCACAGTGAAGGGGCTCACCCTCTCGTGGGCGCCCCTTTGTGTCCAAGAGTGTGTCTGCAACTTCTCTGCCCTGGCTGTCTCCTGGAGTGGAGGCATCTCAGATGGCTTTCTGGTTGGTTGCCTGGGACCAGGCTTCTTCTTACCTCCTTGCTGCGGCTGCTGGGAGTTGCAGGGGGGGACGGGACCCCACGCCTGCCCAGGAACCCTGTAAGTATCAGTTCAGTGCTAAGAGTCTCTGCTGTCCTCTGCTACCTTGATCCCTGGGCCACTTCCCCAAGATGCCACTCCGTCCAGCTCTCTTTCTCGGGGATTTGAGGCGGGTTCTCATTGCACCCTGTCCAGGGTTCTGTAAAGTGTTGTAGTCACTTATTCCTAGTCTTCAGCTGTTGGACCTGCTTTCAACCAGGTCTGAAGTTGAGCTCACACTTAGAGCTGTCTGAGGTGCTGCTGTCCTCCCAGTCGGTCCCTAGATCTAGCTGCATCAAGCTCCAGTGAGGAACTGCCAGGCCCTGGCCTAACAGCTTCTTTATCAGCCTGCTGGGCCCTGATTGGCTGCTGGAGAAGCAGTCACTCTAGTCTGATTGGGGGAGCTATTTTCTGGTCTTCTCCCTGGGGCTAGGTTTGACAAGACCTCCAGCAGGGGGTGTTAGAAAGCGAGGTTACTCACCTTGGTGCAGTAACTGTCGTTCTTCGAGATGGTCCCTGTGGGTGCTCTACTGTAGGTGCAGGGTTTGTCCCAGCACCGCAGAATGGAGACTCTTGAGTAGCAGTACTCGGCCAGACCACGCATGCGCAGCGGCATCTCGCAGAGTTTGCACTCTTTTCTGCACTTTCGCGGTCTGGCCCCTGCCAGTTCCTCAAAAGCTGCCTCGGAATCTGTGAACAGGAGAAAAAAAAACGAGACAGACTCCGAAGCGGGGAGGAGGGCAGGTAGTGGAGCACCTACGGGGACCATCTCGAAGAACAACAATTACTGCACCAAGGTGAGTAACTTCGCTTTCTTCAAGTGGAGTCCCTGTGGGTGCTCCACTGTAGGTAACTAAGCAGCAGTACCCTCATGAGCTGGAAAGTGGGATACAGAGTCTCTGTTGTCTGCTGATGAGAGCACCGCTCATGCCACTGCAGCGTCCGAGAGCCTCTTTTGACGGATAGTATAGTGTTTAACAAAGGTGTCATGTGAAGACCACGTGGCTGCTCTGCAAATGTCTTTCAAAAAAAATGCCTTTGAGAAAGGCTGTTAACACTGCCATTGCTTGTGTGGAATGTGCTTGGGGTTGTGTTGGGAGAAATAACCCCTTAGAAGCTGTGTTACGGGTTGTGTTGGGAGAAATAACCCCTTAACCACGTGTGTAACACAGCTTCTATAAGTTTAGAAATATGGTGGGATGATAACGGTTGTCCCTTTGTTTTGTTGGCTAGAGACGATTAGGTGGTCGGGTTTCCTGAAACATCTTGTGCGGTTGATGTAAAGGGTGAGAGTTCTACAAATGTCCAATGTGTGAAGAGACATTTTTCATGGTGATGAGTGAGGCTTAGGGTAAAAAGATGGTAGGATAATAGGCTCGTTGATATGGAAGGATGAGAAAACTTTTGGTATCAATGCTGGATGAGGCCTTAGGACTCAAGGTTAAGGATAACGTAGGGCGGTGTTGCCATTAGTGCTGATAGCTCGCTGACTCTGCGTTCTGATGTAATTGCAAGGAGGAAAGCTAGTTTCATGGTTAGGGTGCGTAAAGGTATGGTAGCTAATGGTTCAAATGGTGGTATGGTTAGGGCACTCAAAACAATCTCCAGGTTCCATATTGGGGGAACGGATTTCCGAGGAGGACTTATATTTGATAGGCCTTTCATGAATCTCTTGGTTGTTGGGTAGGCGAAAAGGGAGGTTCCTTCGATAGGCTGTCTAAAGGCCGAGATCGCCGCTAGGTGAAGTCTGAGAAAAGCTAATGCTAGGCCTGTGTTTTTTAGATGTAGCATGTAATCGAGGACATGAAGGGGAGCGGACTAGGGGAGCAGTTGCTGAGAGGCACATCAGGAAACAAACCTTCGCCATTTTGAGAGCTAAGTACTTCTCGTTGTTTGCCGCCTACTGTGAATGAGTATACTCTGAGCCTGAGTAGAGCAGAGGGATTCGGCAGGGTTTAACCAACTAGGAGCCATGCCATGAGTTGCAAAGTATTTGTGGCTGTCGTAGTGTCCCTTGATTCTGAGTGAGAAGGTTCGGAAGGGTAGGCAACTGGTATGGTCTGCATGGTGACATGCGCTGGAGGAATGGGAACCAGTGCTGACGAGCCCATGCTGGTGCTATTAATATGACTGTGGCACCGTCCGTTATTATCTTCTGCAGAACTTTTGGGGAGAATGCATAGAGGGGGGTGGGGAGAATGGTGACGAAGGGTATGGAGTATGCTGATTAGATTATTTCTAACACCCACCTGTCTGTGGTGACTGAGGCCCATTGGAGATAAAAGGGCCTCAGGTGGTGATGATATTGGTGACCTTGGTTGGTATTTGCGTTTGTCTGCGTACCCTCGACTGAGGCGTCAAACCTGCTGTTTGGTATTCATTGGGTCCTAGGTGCGATTCTCCTGGTTTCGACGCCTCTGAGGTCCCTGTCTGTTCCGTTGATGATCAAGAGCTCTCTGCTGGTTATGCCATTGTTGTCGAACGTAAGGGTAGTCATAGCGTCTCTGGTATGGAGGATAACGCCACTGTCTATACGGGGGGGAGTACATACCCAGTGTCTGCCGTGTTGTGCGGGAATCTAGCACGCTATCAGTTTTTTCAGAGAACAGCTTGTCCCTGTCGAAAGGCAAATCTTCAACTTTGGTCTGGAGGTATCTGGGGACTGCAGCTGATTGGAGGTAAGACGCTCGTCGCATCACTACCGCTGTGGCGGTGGATCTCGCTGCTGTGTCCGCTACGTCCATGGCTATCTGTAGGGCAGTTCTGGCTGATGTGTAGTCCTCCTGGACAACCGATTTGAGTATGGGCCGCTTTGCTTCCAGTAGATGGTTTAACACGGGTGTGAGTTTAGTGAAATTGTCAAATATGTGGTTAGAAAGGTGAGCTGTATAGTTCACTATCCGGAGCATGAGTGTCGCAGATGTGGACACCTTCCTACCAAGTAAGTCCAGTCGCCTTGCGTCCTTGTCAGAGGTATTTCTGTATTGAGGAGCTTTTGATCTTTGGTGTGCTGCATCCACCATTAAAGAATTTGGTTGGGGATGGATAAAAAGGAACTCCATCCCCTTAGGTGGCACGAAATATTTTCTGTCTGCCCTTTTGCTAGCTGGTGGAGCAGAAGCCGGGGTCTGACATCTCTCTTAAGCAACCTCCAGAATGGCTTCATCCAGTGGTCTAGCGCCTTTTCCTCTGTGCTGTGGCTGAGGGTTTTTGAGGAGGTGGTGTTGTTTGTCCTTTATTTCATCAAGGTGTATTTCCTGGCTTATGGCTACCCTTTTGAAGAGTTCTTGGAATTGTCCGGTGGGGAGATGTCCGGTGGGGATTATAGCCTCATCTGGTCTGTGGGGGAAGTCTCCTGGGTTCGGTCCTCTGTGGTGGAAAGGTGCGTATTGTCCGGTTCCGATGGTTGACATTGAGGAGAGGCAGGTTGGACCACTGGAGTGGGAGGGGCCAGAGTTGGGGACTGTCTGCAGTCACAATATGATCTTCCATGAGACGTAGAGCGGTAATAGTATAAGCGTAGAGAAGGCGAATAGTGGTGGTAGCGGTCGTCACGGTAATAGTCTTTCAAGAGGTGACCGATCAAAATAAGTGTACCTAGACTGTTCCCAGTGAGATGAACGATTCGACCGGGGTGAGTGGGAGTGAGCATATGAGGCTCTAGATGATGCTGGAGACATAGGATAACGGCTATGATGACGATGAGGATGATGATGAGTCATAGCAGCCGCTAGAAATGGTGAAGGTAGCCTTTGACTTGGAGAGCGTGGGGATCAGTGCTGGCATGAGTCATGTAATGTAGGGGACCTTGGTGCTGATGAAGATGGCAACGGTGCCAGTGAAAAGAGTAGTGACTGGGAGCGTGAGCAGCTTCAGCACCAATATGGACTCAGTGTAGTGCCAGGCGCATACAGCATCAGTGCTATTGGGGTCTGTGTCGTAGTGGGCGGTGCCATATTGCACACTCTGTACCGGTGGTGAGCCCGGTGCCGCCAGCAATGATGATACTCTCGGCACAGAGGATGCAACCGGTGCCAATGTAGACCTCGGTGCTGTTGCCGGTCTCGGCAATTTCTTTGACACCGTAGGACCCTTCGGACATGATTTTGAAGTACCTGACATCCCGGGCTTGTCTCCCGAACTGACTCTGCTCTGTGTAGTAACTGGCAGAGATCTCGTAGGTGATGCCCTGTGCTTCTTAGATGTCGTCGTAGTAGGGGAAGAAGCCCTCTGTTTTTGAGACTGCCCGGAGGAGGCCGTGCTTCCAAAGGTTTCTGGCTGAAGCGCCTTATCAAATAAAATCATACGGAGCCTTATCTCCCTGTCCCGTCAGATCCTCGCACTTAGTTTTAAGCAATGCGAGCATTTCTGTGGGACATGGGCTTCTCTGAGACAGCGAATGCAACAGGAGTGGCCATCTGAGGCAGGCACTGGCTCTCGACAAGTGTCGCATTTCTTAAACCCTGAAGGGGACGGCATTTTTTTAAAAGGGGTAACTAGGTAGATCTTAATTATGTACACTACGAACTATGGAATAACTTGAGGGAGAGAAGTATAGCGGGACTATAACTTGGTTACCAACAAGGAAAAAAAATTTTTTTTTTTAAACTAGGGTAGTAACGAGAGGGATATTTGGAAGTAAAAAGAAGAAGAAAAACTAGGAAAGGAACGAGCTTACGCAGGCGTAGAGGAAGAAATTGAGGAGATCTCTCTCTCTCTCTCTCTTTCTGTCTCACAGATTCTGAGGTGACCTCGAGGAACTGGCAGGGGCCGGACCGCGTGAGCACAGAAAAGAGCACGAATGCTGTGAGACACCACTGCGCATGCGTGGTCCAGCCGAGTACTGCTACTCAAGAGTCTCCACTCTACGGCACCAGGGCAAGCCCAGCACCTACAGTGGAGCACCCATGGGGACTCTACTCGAAGAACTAGTCCACCCGGTCAAACCGTCCATCTGTTTGTCTTTAGCCATTTGCTGTCTCATTCTACAGCTGGATTATAAGCACCTTAGGGAAGGTGAAGTCTTTTTCTTATGTTTGTATAGCATCTAGTTCTTATGCCTGGCCCGGTGCTAGAGTAGCACAAATTATAAACACTACCACAATGTCATAAAAGGCTTTCACAGACAACTCGTTCGTTGCCTTACCTGCATCTTTATGCTATACCATCTCCTATAACAGTCTATATTTTTAAAATACTGATTTGATATAATATGGCATTCACCTCAACAAACAATTCGGACTTCTAGCTGCACTCTACAAAGCTTTATTTAAATTGAGAATACAGTGCAATAGGAGAAATATTTTAAATACTAATTACTAGGATATTCCATCGACTGTCAAATAAAGGACAAAAATGAGCTTATTTCCAAGCCCTTAGACCTCCCAGAGTAATAACTATTTAGAAAGGCTATTTCTAAAGAATTCTACATAGAAATAAAGCCAAAAATAACATTAGTCACATTCTAATTATATTCAATAATGAAAATCTAACAAACAAGATTAAAATGCCAACTCTCTCCTAGAACACAGAATTCCTATATAAAATATTAAAGGAGCCAAATCTGGTATTTACTTGCCAGATTATTCAGTGGCAAGTGTATAAATAAACTATGCCCCTACACATACACTAAAACACAAACATTATGGTTTAAATCATGCAATTTAAAAGCTAAGTCAGCTTGAGGACAGAAGACTTACAAAAGTGAATTAAAATTAGTTTCAGATATCATACATGCTATGAGTTCCCTGCCATTTTTTGTAGTTTTACAACCACATTCTTCTTTAAAAATATTTTTCTTTTCCCTGATTACCACGTGAAAAACCCACACACATAGGGAAAAGAGATTGCTTACAAAACACTGAAAAATGCACAAAGAAAAATTGGAATCAATTTTTATTCTTTGATCTCTTTCAGTTGTGATAGGTAGTTTACTATTATGGTAGCATTACTATCAATAACCAACTTATCCATGAAAATGTTATTTTAAAAGTTAGTTTTGGATAAACCCCTTTGTCTAAAGTAAGCAAGAGGCTGAGCACATTGAGAAACAATGTTAATATCCTTTCAGAAAGTTTAAGTGTACCATTTCAGAATGGCAAGACAATAATAAAACCATAATATTTTACATTCATGAATATCATTGCATTTATTGGAAACAAATACTGAATTAATGCATCAGCATTTTACATAAAAACAAGTCATTTGGACATACTACTGTAATCACCACATGACCTGAAACACAGAGAGTCTAACCAAACAGATACCTTCGAGGCTATATTTTAATATTTTTGCATTGTTTATGTTTGTCAATAATTTCTCCAAATAAAAGGACTATTTTTCAGTAATTGCACAAAGAAAACTGTCTAAAAATAGCACTGTTTCCTTACTCAGTGATTTTATATAAATGTTCTCAGTTTATATGTAAAGTGATGGTTTTCTTAACTGCAAGCTCTGTAGATTCCACCTGAAAGCCAAGTGTTCTTGCTGTCATCATTCTAAGTAACAGATTCTGCAACTTAAACTCTGCCCTCAGTTATGCATGTGTAAACATCTGATTTTGTCCTACAATTTAGTTACAATTCTCTTAATTATACTTGAGGCAAAATACAGTAAAACTCCATTGGTCCAGCATCTGACGGTCCAGCACTCCTGATGGTCCGGCACCATCAGGAACCCGGAAGTGCTCCGCAGCCAGACCATTGGAGCTGCTCTGCCTCCAGCTTCCCCTATTCAGCTGCTGCTAAAACTGACCAGTGGCTGAATCGGGGAAGCCGGGGGCAGAGCAGGCGGGGGGCAG